CGGCAGGGGCCGTCACCTAAAACCTAATAACTTGAAAACTATTTGACCAATCTTGCTGATTTTTTCAGAGGAGATTCCCAAGACAATGCTAAAAAAAAATGATGGATGCTTTTTTCAATTAGTTACTTCCTTAACATTTTAGACAAATTTTACCCCACAGTGAAATGTTACTTGTATTCAAGTGGTTCCCATGGGAACAAGAAACCTAGTTACTCCAAAAGCATCCATTATTTTTTTCTCTAAAGTGTACTAAATATAAAGAAATAATGATCATTAGCCTATGATAGGTGGCCTCTGACAAGATAGAATTTAAAGATGGACTGCCGAAAAATAGATTTTGTCATGTTTCCAAGCACTTTTTCCTTTGATGAATTAACTTTTGTAACCCAGTATTTTAATAATCGTTTTCAGCATCTAATAAGCTTTGAAATGATGTATAGCATGTTGCAATTGCAATAATCTATCAATATTAAGAGCCGATACAATAACATGATGTCGCAAATGTAAAATTTAAGGTGTACTCCCCCCTTATTAAGTCCCGCAGTAATTAGCCCAAGTTCTAATTATGCCGAGGAAACGTATTATATTGAGGAAATTTTCGCCTGAAAATGAATCATTAATATGTGATATGTAATTCAATAATCATTAATTGCATAGTAACACGCAATTTCATTGGCGGTAGTAGACTGCCTCTTTTGATTGGAAAATTAGTGAACACATTAAGGTGGCTCAATACAGTTTTTAAAAAAATGGAAAATTCACGATTTAGATGCGGATTTTTGGACAATTATTACTTGTTGATAAACAAAAAGTACCTTAGGCGTAAAAAAATACCTGTGATTCCGGTTTCATATCGTGAAAAAATTAGGGTCGGTAGGTCGGAAATAATTTTTTTTTTGAATATTTTTTTCATGGTTTTGGCGGTTTTTTGTTGGGCATTGTTGCCATAGCAACGGCAATTGCATAACCTTTGTGCAAAAATTCAAACTCTTTAGATGTTGTTTTATGTAAGCAAGGTACTTGTTGTTTATCAACGAGTAATAATTGTCCAAAAATACGCATCTAATTCGTGAATTTTCCATTTTTTTTTAAACTGTATTGAGCCACCTTAAAGTGCCTATGTCATAGTCAGGGAATTGGTCATATATTTTGATTATTTAATTTAGGTTATTCTAAGAGTTTTTGTAATATATTTTATAATTCGAAAATTTGATCTTCATGGACTTTTTGGCGCTCAAAGTTGGCGATTTTGCCTATTTTGAGCGTTTGACCGTGAGCATCAAAATACTGGGGCGAGAATGCCTTTCAGCGCCGGCGTGACGTCATTGCGGGAACTCGTCAAAACAAAATACATATGATTTACTATAGTTTCCTGATAAAATTGGGTATAAATTGGATGTTTCTGGAAATTTCTTCGGTATTTCGATTTGATTTTTTAATGTAACTGTATCCTTAACCTTCAGTTATCCAACTGACAAGCAGATTGCGCGATAGAGGCTAATATTATTGCTGAGTGTGGAGGTCCAGCACGATGCTAGTAATCTATCAAGATTTATATACAGACAAAACGGAAAAAAACTGTACGCTGTTGGTAAACCTAATCCAGGAGAATCTATTCGCTTTGCTCTCGTCTTTGCCAATGCTGGCCAGATTGGAGGAAATTATTGTGAACAAAAGTCTCGTCCAGGATCAATACAGAGGCGTTTGTTTGCTTGAATTTGGACGTCATGATGTGCCGTATAAAGTTGGTGAAAACTTGTCATTTTGAAAAACTTGTTCAGTTCCTGAGTATTAACTTTAAAATTCTGGACTTGTCTGTTAGCAGATGAAACACTTCATTGCCAAATGTAAACAAAGCAAAGGGTCAATCCAGACTTCACTCAGGGATTACAATTTTACATTGTTATTGATATCTAGGAATTTGCCGAAATGATTCATGGGCGCATGAATCAATATAATAAAAGATTTTAATGTCACACCCCAGGACCATTACTCTAAATCTAATATCATTTTATAATTTATAAATATAATAGAATTCCTTGCTTTATTTGCATTTTGCAAGCAGGCAAATTCTGCACCTCAAATAAATTGAATAATACAAAGAACAAGTGTTTCAAAATGGTTTAACATTCGGAATCAAAACCGTGAAGTCTTTAGGGTAAAGAGTATCATAGCCCAGAAATGGTTGAATCATGAAATACAATAGCCCCCTTGGCTTCCTTTGTTTACATTAGGCATTTTGCCAGCAGACAAGTCAAATATATACAAATGAATAATTTTTCAAAATGATTATACAGTTCACTATAATTAAGAAAGTGATTTTTATTATTCATGAATCAGAAAAATAGAGGTGTGTCATATTTTAAAAAAATGTAGTTGTATTATTACGTGAACACAATATAATAGATCTAGACAACTTGCTTTGTTTATATTTTGGCGATTTTGCAAGCCGGCAAGACTTAATTCACGAATTTATTCAAATATCAACTTTTTTTTATGAATACCTATCAATCACAATAAAACAAGTTCACTTTGCCTTCGGAATTTCTCTTTTTAAATTATATAAAATTCGTATTTATCTGCACCTTTTCACAAATTTCCAACACATCCTGACGCGGCTATGACGTCCAAATTCGAATCAAACTGGCGCTTCTGTTGATCCTGGACGAGGTGTTTTGCTGACAAAATTTCCAATCTGGCCTGTATTGGTAAAGGGAATAGATTCTCCTGGATTGGGTTTAACAACGGCCTACAGTTCTTTGCCGTTTTGTCCCGATATTACTGTATATAAATCAAGATAGATTAGCATTCGCGTATACGTGTTTGACCTGTACACTTAGCCATAAAATTAGTCTCTCGCCCAATCTGCCTATGACAACAATAACCGAAGGTTAAGGATATAGTTCCATTTGAATTTCAACCGAAATATCGAAGAAAATTCCAGAAACATCCAGTTTATACTCGATTTTATCAAGAAACTATAGTAAATCATATGTATTTTGTTTTGACGTGTTCCCGAAATGACGTCACGCCGGCCGCGCTAAAAGCATTCTCGCCCCAGTTCTTTTATACTAACGGTAACACGAAAAATTGCCAACTTCAAGCTCCAAAGAGTCCATGAAGATCAAATTTTCGAATTATGAAATATATTACAAAAACTCTTAGAATAACCTAAATAATCGAAATACAGCAATGGATGATTCCAGCTGTAGACTAAATTTTGATATATCTAGGCAAGAAGAGCAAAATTCATCACCACAGCTAGAAAGAGCATGTTAAAATTTGTAAAAAAAGTTTTCTGGCGAAATGGTGTAAAATGAGGAAAATATAGCTCTGCGAAATTTGCAAATTTTGTATTAATTTGTATTGCGCACGGGAAAACGCACCACTTACGGTCCAAATCAGGGCGCTTATATAGAGGGCGGTGAAACGGCTATAGGCGCGCCGATCGATGTGTGATGCAATGAACTGGTAACGAGTTTGTTGTGGTTACTATGGCGACGTTGTCTTATATGGCAAGGATAAATATGGCGGGAAAACTGAG